GCGGTATTCTCTCGCGTCACAACATACCACATGCCTTTATTGGCGGCTTTGCATTCAACTTGCTTGGCACCTCACGCTCAACCCTCGATATCGATTTGATCATCGAGGACTCCGCATTTTCTCCCGGCCCTTCCAAGCCGCCCAAAGCCCTAGAGCCAATCCATCAAATCCGGCAGCTGCTGGTGGAATCGGATGAAAGATTCTGCTTGGTCGGGAGCGGCTTGATCCCAAAGCTTATCTTCACAGCACAAACGGAAGAGGAGAGACCGGTCCGGGTCCCTGTCGAAACGCTTCGCGCCGGCTCCCTTGGCTTACCTCGGCATGTCAATCAAGTTATGACTTTGCGCGGTATTCCCATTCTTGCTCCTCGGTTCCTGCTCCTCACAAAAATCAAGCGCTGCACAAACTTTTTGGGAAGCGACCGGCCCAAGTCTGTAGCGCGCTTCAAATCCGACGAGGGGGACATCAAGCATTTGTTGAAGTGGCTGTCTCAGGAGAAGGAGAGAGTGGATTTTAAGGGTTATCATCATGGTGGTACGGGGGCTGAAGTCGATGACAATGAGTCCATGAAAACTTACGACAATTTGATCCATAAAGTTGGTGAATTGGTTCAGTTTTGGCACGAGAAAGGGGACGAGGAGGAGGAGACGGTGGCGGGCTTACAGAAAGTAATGGAGGAGGATGACTGGAGGAGCGTTCTAGAGAGGAAACTCAGTATATAAGGTCGTTCCCCCGATCAGTTTTGATGTTCTAGATTTCACATCCTTTTCATCAATCTCGATAATTCTAAACCATACCTATCTCACTGGTGTCGAGGGTTCCAGGTTGCAGTTCAGGTGTAAGTGATAAACTGATAAGGAGGACCGGATACGGAAAGGTTCGATCAAATGATGGATTCTGGGGAACGCTAGGCAAAATTGGGTTTAGACTGCCGAGCAGCCAATGTCAAGCACAGCATCTCCCTGCCTGCCCAGGCGCACTTCCAACACAGGAGCTCCAACAGCAGCTGCTTTCCGTCCCGTCTGCTTCATTCCTTCCCTTTTACTTCAAACGCCGGACCTAATGAGGGGCGCTCCAGAATTTCCCTCTGGACTTAGCTACCTTACCTGATGTCCACTTCCTCTACAATAAGCTGCCTTCTCAGGTCTTACTTGGAACGAACCGAGCCAGAGGCGGTCCCTCTCAACATCTCAGCAGCATCATCTTCTTTGGCGCCGCAGCATCGGTTTTGACGCCCAACTGCACAATACTTGTCCTTGTTCTCCTGCATACCTCCAGCGGTTAACTCCAATACCTTGATTTTCTAGTCGCCATACTTACCCCTTCCGCGGTTCTTGCGCTGTTCAAACCAACCGGATGGCCAATCGGCTAGGTCAACGGAAAACGGCGTGGATGTGATAAACTCACTTGGCTATTCGCTGAGCAGATTCCGACATAGCTCCTGGCAGCCTCGCTGGCCACGACAAGGGGGGCGTGTCACCGGGAAGAAAACTCGGAAAAATCATGGGGAAGCTCGGGTCAAGGAACCCCGAAAAGCAGACGGCCATTTGCGAACTGTCGCGGCCCCTGACACTGATCGACCTTCCGCATGATATCCTGGAGCTGATCCTGAAAGAGGTGCGGAACACTCCCCCATAAACTCTCGGTTCCTTGCATTTACTGATCCAGACCTTTCAATCAACAGATCACAGATAACAGTGACTTGACTGCACTTGCACGTACACACTCGGTCCTGTACGACCTCGCAATAGCTGCTATATACTCGAGTTTTGACATCGCCTGGCCGGATAGCAATGATTCTTGGTCCCCTAACACTCCAACTGTCGACGCTCTAACATCTGGTCTATCGACTCTTTGCCGGAATACGAACTTTTCTTTTGCCGCAATCACGACAGGCAAGCCTGGGAGGCCCGCGAGATTCGGCGGCAACAACTATACAGAATACGTTAAAAAGTTCTCGATCGAAAATGGACCCAGAGAATGGCTTGAGGACTACCTGGTCACCAAGGTGGGCGGCAAAATGCTTAACACTCTGGTAGCATCGGCAGTCGCGAAGATGACCAACCTGGAGTCATTCACTTGGGACATGCCGACCGGAGTCCTGTCTGACACTTTTATGGCTTTGGCTTCTCTTAGTCGCTGGCCAAACCCTGAGCCCAGCAAACTCAAAAGTGTTTGGATCAGGTGGCATGACACTTCAGGGCTATCCGACCACCCATCGACTTCGAACCATACTCCATTTCCGCTTCTAACAGTTCAGGCGGGAAGTGTAATGACACCTATCGGCTGTAGGCCACCTAATCATGCCACGTACAACGGATCAAAATCTCCGATAGGATACTCGCAATGCAGCTACGAGTATCCAACGTTCAGTATCCTACCGCCCCTCAAAAGCTTGGCGGTGTTGAACATCGAAGAACCAGCCTACTTGGATGAGATGGCGACCTTGATCGAACGATCCAAAGACAGTCTGGAGGAGCTCAGAGTAGGACTTTCATCGAGGGCATACAGGAGGGATTTCTTCATGGCATGGGATGGATCGACCCTCAAGCAGGTAGATCATAATGCAAGATGGCCAGGTGAGTGCACCATCGGCGAGAGACGCTTAGGAGGTGTGCTGGGCGTCCTGGTCGGCAAGATCTACGATATACGGAGGAGATCGTCCGAAAGGAAGAAGCACGGCACTAGCATGTCTGGATCAGGGACACAAGTCTCAAATTCAACGGCAGATTCCTTTCCTTCACGAGCGTCCGTTGCGGAGTCGCCGAACCAACAGCCATTTACAGCGGCATCGCCATCAGCATCTGAGAACGCAAGATCAACCGGACCAGACCAGAAGGGTTCCGCACTGCGAGACGAAAAACTAAAGCTACGCGTTCTTGAGCTGGAGCGAATGGCGTTGTCGATGCACGTACTGAGGTACGCATTTGACTGGTCAGTCCTGACAAGCCTGACTATCCTGCGTTGTTTACATCAAGAGACGGTATGGGTGTTATTGCGAAGGCAGTTCCGACCTGAACCTGTCAATCCCGATGTCGAAACATTCTCAGGTACACCAAGCGCCTCCCCGTCCACTCTACGATACAAGCTGTCACTGAAGAAAATTCATACCGATCTTACCACCCCTGCTCTCATAGAGTTCATCAAGGAGACTCTCGCTCCGGACTCGTTGGAAACTCTTTACCTACAGGATACCAGGTTGAACGGTCCTCCTCCCACGGTAAAGCTTCACAAGATCTTCCGGGCGATCGAAGTACACAGTTCCAGCTTGCGCGCCTTACTCCTCGACAGCTCCGGCCCAACTCCCCGTACTAATTGTTCTCGATGGCGTTACTGGTCACTTACGACAAATACGCTCCACTACATCACAAGCGGAAGAATGGTCAACCTGAGGCAACTTTCTGTCTCACTCTATTACTCGGCTTGGGTACGTTCAGCTCTGTTCTTGGAACCATGATCTTGTTATTTCCATACTAACAACACGCCGTCACAGCACCCTTTCCTCCAAAGTCTTCCCAACATGCCTCAGATCCACGCAATCGACATTCCACACGTCGCCGAATACTCCGATCCCACCCTACACCCGAACGAGCTAGCCCTATATATTGCCGACATCCTTACTGTGCGACCTGAGGTTCGTCTGAAGTACGCCGGCATATGTCATACCTGCTTCGAGTTCTGGGAGCATCGCAGGGTGATTACCAATCGGATGTGGAGTGGATCGGAAGTCGATACCGCAGCTGCATTCCTGGAAAGCTGGGACAACAACGGGAACTGGGGTAGCGGAGAGGCCGATGATGACGACGATGACGGCGAAGATGACGACAGCGAGAGCTCATCATCAGAGGAGGAGGATGACGAGGATGAAGACGAAGAAGGCGATATTACTGATGATATTGAGTTGGAGGGATTTCACATGGACGAAGATGATGATCACTTGGTGCATGGTGCGTCGAGCGATTCAGAGGATAGTGATGAAGATAATACCCGGGAAGAAGATGACGGTTTCTACGACTCCGAGGGACGGGTCGTGATCCGTGTTAGGGAGATAACCTTTGAGGAGGACAAAGTTGAGATCTTTCGGGCGAGGCATATGAAGCTTTAGAATGGAAGAAGATCTTGGGTGTGTAGATTGCCATAGAGGGATGCATTTGAGCTTTGAGCAATCTGGAGGTAGATACCCAGCGAGGATGATCGCAGATTAGACCAGATTCAAAATCAACTACAGTGAATTAGTTCCTAGGTGATTCTCAAAGTAGTTCTATGGCCCATCTTCAACCTTGTCGCAATCACAACGGAGAGTGCAGTAGTAATTATAGTGATATAAACTCGTGGAGCCGCTCGCAATAACTGACAGGGTTTCGAGATGCCTGTTCCACAGAACCTATGTCCTAGTTGTCTTGCTTGACATGCTTGATCGTTTGAGGATCATAGCCCTTATTAGAGGTACATAACTCAAACGGTAAATTTGACAATAACCATCTAGTGGCCAAACTTCTGTCATTCCTAAATAGTAGCCAAAGGTGAGTGGAAAAAATAGAACTGGCACTGAATCCTGGAACATACCTTTCACCATTATTCCTGAATCACTCAATTCATGAAACAAAGGAGTACGATACTGCCTTGTCCGTATTTGCTAGGTTGAAGGTCGATTTGCTCACTAAGACAGATGTCTCCTCTTTACCGTGATTCCTATGTACCCATCCATCACTACTTGCTTCGGCTTTCCTTCCTTCCCTTCTTCTACCCACCACCTCACCTTCCAACCGGTCACAAACGCCATGATCGAACCGAACAGAACAAAGGTACCGTACTTTGACAATCCGACGACTCCACTAATCCAATCCAGAACAGCAAAGTATCCACATCCTAATTATTATCTTGATATTCTCACGCCTTATCATCGCATTTTGATCAAACTCCCCATTCTCCCAAAATAATAAGTCGTTACACAAGGTCATGATATAAAGGCGATCTAAAAGTCCGACATTCAACAAAAAGCCCGATTAGCTCAGCTGGTTAGAGCGTCGTACTAATATCTTGTCTTCCGAGATATCAAGTCCATGCGAAGGTCAACAGTTCAATCCTGTTATTGGGCATTTCTTTTTTTCGGGTTTTTTTTTGTGGATTTTTTTTCATTTGGTGTGTGTGTATTATGGGGGTGAACAGGGATGGCACTTGGGGCAATAAATAATTGCCATTGCTTGCAGTGATTGTTTTGCGTGTAGATTTTTGAATTTGGAAACGTGAGTGAGTGAGCTTGTTCTTACCAACTGACAGACATCGAAAGGCAAATAGATGGTGGATAACCTAGAAGCAGAAGTTCTCTTATTTTTACCTCCCGTCTGTTCAAGAGGGGTGAGTGAATCAAAGTCTCCTTCCGGCCTGGCTGTCCGTGGTGTACAGGGAAGTACCTGGATTAGTAGTAGTATGTACGTACGTAGGCTGCTCCTTACTTCCTTCTTGATTTTCGACAACGAGTTAGGAGGATAAGGAGCAAATGGAAGGGAGCTTTTTGGGCGTGGACGTTCTGCTCAGGAATACTTCTCTCGAGGTAGGTAAGGTAGCTAGCTAGGTAGGTAGGGAGACACAACGTAAGATGGACCTCAGTCAACCCAACTAGGTTCTTGAGAGAAGAAGCAACGTTCTTGAGCAGCAAGCAATGCCATGTGGGAAAAGACTGAACCATCACCACATACCAACCGGAACCCCAGCTATCGGCAGCCGCTTTCTATCCCGCTGCTTCCAAGAGACCAAAGAGATACATACAATGCAGATCAAGTTGCAGATCATTGTTGGCTAGCGGGGCCAGTATTCACGGCAACCACTCAGCACCAGATGCCCAAATTTCCCCCCCCACGGTTCTTGAACCCTTCGAGATCATTGAGCCCTTGGTTGGACCCTTGGACCCCTGGACCCTTGAACGCTTGGACCCTTGGTTACTTGCGAGTGACAGCATGCCTAATTGGGAGTACATCTATCCTTTCGACCTTCGAGCAGAAAACAGGGCAGAAGAAGGATCCATGCCGTTGACTTCACTTGGGTGGCTAGAAAAGGCCCGTGCCGGAACGGTAAAGCTTCCTACTCGCTCCCCTAGTTAGTCCCTATGCTCCTCCCGTCGCTAAAGCAGAGCGGAACTAGATGCGCTCGTTAGTTAGTCTGTCTTAGTCGATAGTCCCATACATCGTTTTGTTCACCGTATGCACGTCACTCATGTACTACTCGATGTACTTGATGTACTCGCTTCGTCTTTCCGGTCCAGTCGCCCCGTCGGCGGCCTGATTTCCCTCCCCGCCGGCTTGCTGAAAGTGTTTGCGACGGGATCTCATCGGGAGGTACTGCAGCTCGACACATGCGGAAGACAAGTCAATGTCATAGCGACAGCTTGGAAGGAACGGAGGAAGCAAGCAAGGATGGGGAGACGGGAGAGAGGGCCCGGGGAGATCCTCCTTGGCAAAAATGATGGGATTCATGTAGGTCTTCCGTGCTTGTGATGAGTATGTAGGTGATATGTAGGTGTGTTTTAAGGTAGTTGACATGATGGATCGGGATGGACGTGGCTGCACAGGACCTCTGTTCCTTGATTCTCGGCAGGGAATGTAGCCAAGCACTAGGATTTGAAGCGATAAGGGTCTATCCAGTGGCTTGATGGGGGTCATTGTCTGCAGGTCGACTGGCAGAGACAGCGAGGACGCCATTCACGGATGCCTAAACCCGTAAAGGTTGAGCATTGATGGATGGCTAGCTTGCTCTCAGCTAGTCTCCACTCAAGCTTCAAGTCCACGATGCTTCACATTTGAGTCCTGCGGCTTGTGACTACAAGCCTCTGAACTCCGAAGATGCACTTACAAGAGAGACGCTGATTAACATGTAAAGAGGGTAGTGTCCCTGAGGTTGGGGCATGTCCTAGACTGAAGCACCTAGGACGTGGATCCGAGTCAATGTAAGCTTACCTCTGTCTCTATGAGGCCTGGTTGACTTAAAGGCGTCCGATAGTTCAACTGCCATGCGTGATACAGTTGTATTTCGTATGCTCGTCGCCATGACTCCTTGTCTTAGTCAATATACCCGAGAGTTTATAGTAAGGTATTAAGCTAAACTAGAAGTCCACTAGTAAGAGTCCCCGTGAAAGTGATGTTTCGGAACGGACAAGGATGTCGAAGCAGAGTAGGTAGTAAGCAGGCGCCGGATCTCAGAACGATTACTCCGCGATTACAAGCTGCAGGGAAAGGATGTTATCATAGCTCTAGATGATTCGTTAACGTAGTGACTTTTGTGATTCACGCAATGGATGGCGACGTTGGATTCTGCAGAGTCCGATGTTGCAATGCAATAGAATCCGATCCCCCCAGTAAGGGCACTGACCTCGGTGAGATGGGTACGGAGAAATTGAACGGTGAATGTTATTGTTGCACGGATCGCAGATCGTGTCAGCCGTTGCAACAGGACTTGAAGTCCTGACCCATTAGGGACTGGTTTATTGGAACCGTACAGCGATGATCTTGTGTCCCGTCTCAGGTCAGATCCTCTCCTTTGACTCGCGGTCTTTTTGTCTGTAAATAAGGGTCCTGAATCACAGTGCGGCCTTGCTATGGGAGTTTAGGGTCGATATCGGCATGTGCGAGCCTTTTGTCCCGTAGGAACCATCCTCCCGCTGTCTGGGTGTGGGTGATGCTTGGCCCCCGAAAAAGCCATGTCTCTCGACACTCAGCCCTCGGATATCTTCTACCCACTTGGAGCGGGCAGTGGTCGCCCGGTATGTTCTACCCGCGCTTTCAGAGAGGAGTTATCGAAAACGGGATGCTGCGGCCTCTCGATAAGGCTGTCGGATCGGGGAGCGCTTGCAACGCTGTGATATCTGATGCATGGTAGTGTAGGATTCCAGTGTCGTTGCAACATCTTGTTTTTTCCAGAAGCAATGATTGTTGCAGCCTTGCCTGTTGGGTTGGATTTGCGGATGTCAGATTCCTGCGGCATCGTTCCCATTCGATACTCAATCTGGTTGTCAGATGGTGTAAGAAGGAAGGGGGTGCAAGAGCGAAAGTAAGGCGTGGGGAAGGGTGTACAGATAAAAACGCCAAAAATGCAATGCTAACCGGAAGTAGACTAGTGCAAAGCTCATTCGTCAGCGGCGAGCGGGAATGGATCCTTTATGCTTAACACCTTCCGCTGTTCAACGACCGACGACCCGTCGACCATGTTATAACGCGGTTGAGGACCCTAAAAAGACCCTAGTATGGATATGTTGAAGCTCCATGTTCTTCATGTGCGACCCTCCCCATTTCGCCATATCCCGAATACCTTTTTGCTAGTCAGACCTTCCATTTTCCAGTTCCACTGCGGTTGTTGATTTCCAAGTTAGGACAATTTCGTCAAGTGATCACGACACATACCGTTCTTTGACTCACCGGAGTGAGTGCTTATGCGTTGATTTGAGTAGAGGGCAAGCCCTAAGGCTCAGGTAAAGACAATAATATCGGAGGAGGCCCTGAGCAAAGCACCAGACTGTTTGTGATCTTCCGTAAGCGACGAACTGGTAGGACCCTTGGATTCTACCGTTTCCCCGCTTCCTCTCCCTGTCTAGGGAATGACGGCATTCGCAGTCGGCTTTCTGAATCCGCATGTTCCGGATTCTGACGGGAGGGGACGACGTGGGCGGCGCGGGATGAAGGGAGCACGTTTTCGGATGCTGTTATATCCGGCATCGCTCCGGCCCAAATGCTGCAGCCCTGGCACGGAAGATATCTCCATCTGTATGTGTGCCGTCAACTCACTCCCGCACAGACCGTGGTTGAAAAACCAGGCCGAGCCGGAGACGAATCGTTCCTCAAGGGAGCCAAGCAGTGAGGGCTTAGTCATATCGAGCCCACGAAACGAGATTTGGTACCGTTTATGTCGGATATCGGAGATATCGTTTAGTAATCCAGTCAGACGAGAGCACCATCTTCAATTGACTGCACACACGGAAACAACCGCTACCCTTTCAGAGGGGGTCTGTCCGGAGGCATGTTCCGTTGTCGTTGGCTGACGAACGGCGGGACGTTCAACGTAGTGTACAATGTGCTGGGCGTAACGAGAGGCTCCATTGCAGAAATTTGTACATGGATCCACATCAAGGGTCATCATTCTGCGGTACTCTAATCCTTTCCCTGTATTCACAGTCAGCCTTTCTGCAAGGAACTCTTTTGGCTCTTGCCAGATTTCGCGACATACCTGCTCGTGTATCATCCTACCGTAGCCTTACGCGGTAAGGACGGGAGTACATCTACAACCTCCGATTGCTATCAGAGAGACTGGCCGGTATCACTGGCAAGCGTGGGGGTATGGGGAAGACTGGTCACTGCGGCCGCCGTCAGTTGGCGTCGCCGAGTTGTTACGGGCTATGTTGCCCTCGCCTCGTGAATTGCGGTATCAATAAAGCTGTTGGAGGGAGCACCGACGACAACGACGACATTGATGATGTTGAAGTTGACGGATGCAAAACCTCTTCGAGTCTACAGAACATACTTGTAGTACATGTTGGTGGGAATTTCCTCTCGCGCCATCACTGTGGGGTAGTAAACTGGAATGCGGGGTTAAGCTTTGGTGCGATTGAGCTAAAATTTGCTGTGTGGAGTAAGCCGTAGTGGACCCCACGGGGTCCGGTCCGGGGTGACTGCACCGGACGTCCATTCCTCGGTCCAAGAAACCCTCCCTTCGTTTGTTCTGACATTTGATTGATAAAATGCAAAAGACTTGGGGGTCACTTACCCCGTCATGATCGGATAATTGAATGTCAAACATTCAGCAAAAAGGGCTGCGCTGTCGTGGGATCTTCCGTCTGCGGACCGTTGCAGCGGGAAAGGAGAATCGAGTGGCCCAGGGTTAGGGGCCATGAGCTATCGCGCTAACCTCACAGGCCTGCCCCTGTCCCCTGAGCCCTGAATGTTGGGGCCTGGGGAGTTTCTATTTCCAGGGCGGCTGTGTTTTCAACTCCGTCTCCCGTCTCTTCTTTTTCTCACGACATTATCACTCCGCACTAGACAAACATCATCGCAGAACGCACGATCAGCTAACGGCCCTACACTTCAAGTCTTCAGGCTGAGCACTGGGTTTCTTC